CCTGCAAGTGTACCTATGATCTTTTTATTTTGGCTTAGTATTTGGGCGATCTGTGGGATCGTTTCCGACGTCGAACGAACGCAATAATTATAGAGATGACACAACAAAATAAAACGATGAATTTCTTAATACATGACGCCAATGGTAAGTTATCTAAGAATGCGCCGACAGTCGGCATGTGTTTTTCGATACACTACACAACACGTTGCACTAGTTTTTAATATTGGAAAATATTCATAATTCTTGATCAACGTGCACATTTAATGATTTTAAATCTTTCCATAACGTATATTTGTATCTGAATCATATTTACTATTTTTTTTTTTTGTTTTCCCTTTCTTTAACGCACATTGTAAGATTGTACATTCCCTTACTTTTTCTTGTATTTAAATAAAATTCAAAATTTTGTTCTTTAAATAAATTTTAAGCCTGGCTTTCCTTATAATATATGTTATATATATTATGAAAATATATATGGTAAAAAAATAATCAGTGGTAAATGTATATACAAGCGTAAAAGCTATTTTAGACTTACTAGTCTGTATATTCATTTCTTCCTTGCAAACAATAAAGCATATATATGTCCTCAAGAATTGTGTAAATGCTTTTTATGTGAATATATTCCTTTTTCATAAAAAGGTAAATAAAAAAAAGAAAAGAAAATAAATAATTATCGAAATAACAATTTCATCTTTCCAACTTGGTATGAATAAGAAACACCAAATCAAATTGTTCCCTTAAGTTAATTATTATTAAACATTATATGTATTTCTGTTTCATGAAAGGAAAGTTAGTTTTATTAAATTTGTAGATTTTATTTGCTTATAAATAATATTTAACGTAATAAAGTATAAGCGAGTTAGTATTATAATAGGCAAAAATATTTAAATTTTATTATTTTGTATTATATTACATGTATGTTCATATACATAGTTTTACTTATGTGTGTGTCTATTCATTACATTTATAAAAATTAAATTATTTCATCACCATAATTTAATGTTCTTTATATTAAATTAGCTGAGTATATATATATATATATATATATATATATATATATATATATATATATATATATATATATATATATACTCCTTTTATAAAATGATCTTTATTATTTTTACTAAGAAATTTTGCTTCATCTCTGACTCATTTAATATTATTAATAAAATAACTATAGAACCAAGCACACACTATTTATTTAAAAAACAAGTTAAAATATATTTCGTAGAACATAATTTCTAAGATGAAATTTAAGAAGATTATACATTACTTCCTCATTTTATCGATGATTGATCAATTTTGAATGAACCATCATGAAAATATTTACAATATAAATATATTAATAAAATAGAAAAAATTGTAATACTAAAAACTCTTACAGGTCATCCACAGGTGATAAAGGTTGTACAAAGTACACCTAATAAATCATTAAGTGGTATTATTAACACGACAAATACTGGTGGTTTTAAAGTTTTTAAAACACCAACTCAAGAATCACAGGTATGTTAAGGAAATAATAATTGGTATATATTCTATGTTATTAACGTTATGCTAATATTTCCATTCGGAATGAAAGAAATATATTTTATTGCACATAAAATATTTTCATTTAATTATTTAATTCTCAGGTTCTGTCACCGAATGCACAAGTCCTCAGAACTATTAGCCTACAAAGTTCTTCAACCCCTGGTCAGAGTGAGCAAGTTTAATCCATCATTAAATGAATGATTATTTAACTTTCACATCTAACTTATATTATTCTTTATAGGATTGGTGACAATACCTTTGCAAAATACAAAATTAAGTACTACTAAACCTGGAGAACCTGTAGTAACAAAAACAATACAATTAACATCTGCTCAAATGGTAAATAATATTCCAAAGTATCCTTACTAAGTTTTTTTTTTTTTAATTCTCTTTTTTGTTTCTTTGTCGATATCTTGTAATATTCTTTCAGAATTGTCTATTCATATAGCATAAATATCTTTTGAATATTATGAGAAGTTTTTATAGTAATTGTACTTTTGTATAATTTTGTTTCAGAGTGATATTAAACAAGCAATAGTATCTCAGCAACAGCAAAGTAGTAATCAACAGCTTGTTAAGGATGTATCGGGGAAAACATTTATTAGTCCAATATTGGATCACAGTGGTTCTAGAAAACGACAAGATACAGAAAGTGATTTTGTGCCTGAGTACTGTATTACTTTCATTCATATTCTTATCTAAAAAAAATTGTATATTGCCCATTGTATTGACATAAATAATACTATTTATTATGTTTGTAGTAAAAGAAGGAAAACAGAGAAGGTAGGGAAAGGTCTACGTCATTTTTCGATGAAAGTATGTGAAAAAGTAAAAAAAAAAGGTACCACGTCGTATAATGAAGTGGCAGATGAATTAGTTGGAGAATTTACTAATCCCGCGCATATGAATTCATTAACAGATCAAGTAAGTTTATATTACATATAATAATTATTATATTAATTATTTTGTTTAATAATAAAATTATAATTTTACTTCTATTTCAGCAATATGATCAAAAAAATATAAGGAGACGTGTATATGATGCTTTAAATGTATTAATGGCAATGAATATTATTTCCAAAGAAAAGAAAGAAATTCGGTGGTTAGGTTTACCAACTAATTCATTACAAGAGTGTTTAGCACTAGAAAAAGATAAGAAAAAGAAAATTGAAGTAATTAAAGCAAAGACACAACAACTTCATCAACTTATTCTCTCACACATTTCGTTCAAGAATTTGGTAGAACGTAATCGTTTAAATGAAAGTCTTCATGGACCACCAAAACCTAATTCTGCCATACAGCTGCCATTCCTCATAGTTAATACCAGCAAAAAGACTATCTTAGATTGCAGCATTTCAAACGACAAGTATATTTTACTTACTTTAAATTATTTATATAATATTTTTAAACTCAGAGATTATACAGAATTATGAAAATATTATTACTGCTGTACAAATATTTTTTATTTCTAACTGTATGTTCATATTTTGATATTACAGAACTGAGTACCTGTTTAATTTTAATGATAAGTTTGAAATTCATGATGACATTGAGGTTTTAAAACAAATGGGTTTGGCCTTTGGTAATTACAAAAAATTTAATAATTATTTATTAAGTTATATTGTTTATAAATATTTAACATTAATTTTAACATAAATTTTTATTTTTAGGTCTAGAAAGAGGTAATTGCTCCGAGGAGAATTTACAGACTGCAAAATCGATGGTTCCTAAATCGCTTGCAAAATATGTGGAACGTACGTATATATTTATATTTCAAAGTGATATAATATATAAGTGAATTAGTTCAATGTTACAAGAAATTTATTATTTTAGAATTAGCATCAGGTGATCTGGAACAATTCATCCCAGTCACAATACCTGGTCCTAGTACTTCTATGGAAGACTTAGAAGTTAAATTAGAAGGTTCTAGACCTCCATCTTCATCACATACTTCGTTATCTGAAGATGCTCTTTCACCACCATCTCAATTTTATTCTGAAGAAGAAGATGATGAAGAAGAGAGCGATCAGGATGATCAAGCTGACAGTGATCTAGAAGTTAACTAGCACCTGGATCAAACTTCCCAAGGCTGGACTCAGGGTTCGTTATCATTATTATGTAAATAACTTTAAATATTTTAATCTAATTTAGTATACCACAATAAGTCAATGTTTATTATAAATAGCTCATTATCGTAGATTTCACTTTCATCCATAACTTTTATTTATATATGAAAAATATTAAGTTTTACTAAAAATGAATTTTTGTTAATGATTTTTAAAAAATGTGTATTATTTCACTAGAAATGTATTTTATTACATTTAATTTAGAGATATAGATAATTGTAATTTCAGGATATGCACTATTTTCATCAGTGGTGTCAACGTGATCATTATCAATGTTACCACTGACATCATCGTTACCGCCTCAATCACTACCGTCTTTACCATGTCGATCAAGATTATGTAGATGTATAATAGTAATTAAGGATTTTTTATTAATCCTTACTATCATCGATACATATAATTTGATAAAGTAAATGAGAATGGTCAAGAGGAAGATACATCGATTGGAGGCAAATGAAAACAAGTAATACATAATTACTTCGCCTAAATATATCAGCAAGGCTCTTTTCATATTAGGAAACCAGTTCAATGCACAAGATGTGATTCTAATTTTGAAAACATATGTAATGTCAAAAAACCATTGACTGTGCATTGATTTACAGATTTATATGACTAGCACTTATGTATAATAAATTATAATCTTAGCCTTATACCTACATTAATATGTGTATAAAATATTAAGACCAGTACTCATTTTCTTATGGCACGTTTATAATAATTATTATCAGTGACACGCGGTGAAGTTCAGTATGCTAAATGCGAATACGTCTGATTCGATTTTGAAGTATAAATAAATTGTCATAATGCTATTGTTCTATTTTTTATTAATTTTTAGTATAAATGTTTATTCATAAGGTTACCAGTCCAAGTAACTTGAAGCAATGAAACATTGAAATAATTAATTGTAATATATAATTGGAATCTGGTGCAAATGAAAGGTTTCTAAATATATAGAAATTTATTAATAATTTATAATTTGGACTTTATAATTATTCTATCAGAAATAAGGATGAAAAAAAAACAATTCTATATACATATACATATATATATCATTAGTTACAAGATACAAAATATGATTAGTTTTATTATAAAGTTGTTATATAGTTTGTTAAAGCTATAATCTTTAAATCAAAARTGAAAATATATGAACTTAATGTTTATTATATCACAATAACAGTTCTCTTCTGACACTTTCAAGAATATATTCTCCATTGTCAATAAAAATTTGACTTGAAGAAACAGGTGATATTAACCGATAACTAAGTTTTATAACATTAAATTTTTTATCTACTGCGTATACTAAATAGGTAATTCTGAACATACTTTAATCTAAATCATCATCATCAAAAAGGTCATCGAATTCTGAAATAATAATAAATTTATAAATTAAAATTAAATTTGTTACAAGAAAATACTAGACTAGTTTAAAAATACTTCATGTTCATACCATTGAAAAAGTCTGCATGTACCGCCTTCTCGCTAGTTGTAAGGTCTACTAATAAACGGCTACCACCAACCTAAAAATGTTATGATTTAATAAAATAAAATATGTGTGTAATAAAAAGTGATTGCATATCATCATATAATTACTCTTTAATGATAATTTTTTATATTCATCATGAATATGCAATAAACTATAAATAATATTTTAAATGTTATAAATAACACTGTGTTATAATATAATTGCCTCCTCAAGTTCTATATATGATCCTGCTCCTTCTGGAAACATTTCATCTGCCACAAGAGTCGGCTTCATGATTAATAACAAAAATCACTCTTCTCCTTTTATTTACAAAAAAGACAACAAATTCTAAGAAATGGGTTAATGGCTCCTGACACTTAAAAACGAATAAACTGCCATCTGATGGAATTTATACTATTTATAATTCTAACCTTATATTATACTTCATGAAAATATAATATATATACTAATTGTTATATTTAACGATTGAATAAATTTTACACTTAATAAATAAATAAAATAATACAATAATTGAACAATTCTATCCAACTAGTTCTTTATGATTCATACAACTCGTGTAAATTTGTACCAATTCATGATAGAACGTTTCTAGTTATATATATATATAAGTACATATATATGTTATGTGCCCGGTGCAGTGCATGCTCTCACATGAGTTTTTAATTTGAAATACAAAATATAATATATAAAAATTATAATTATTATTATTTGTAATCTGTAATAATGCGATGGTCAATTCCAAAACCAGTTTATTATGCATCAATAATTGCAACAACAGTTGGTACAAGCTACCTGATAAAGTAACCTATTTTTACATAATTTAATTTTATTATTTAATTTTTTTAATTAAATTTAATTCAAATATATGTAAATTATTGGTTTAATCATATTGACTATAAATTATACTATTTAAGATATTTATAAAAAAAATAATTACTTTATTTAGCAAATATTATATATATATTTTATCTTGTTTGTTGTTTTTAGAGATCATTTAGGTGGGAAAAAATATGAAGGACAAGAAGATTTAAAAGATAAAGTTGTAATTGTTACTGGTGCGAGCTCCGGTATTGGTAAAGAAACAGCTCGTGAATTAGCTGCAAGAAATGCAAAAGTTATCCTAGCTTGTAGAGATAAAGATAGATGTGAAGAGGTATTTGCTAATTGTAAATGGCAGTTATATATATTACATATTAGTTTCAATTAAAAATTTCTTAATTTACCTTATTGTTTTAGGCACGCAGAGAAATCGTTGTTGAAACCAAAAATAAACATGTTTATTGTAGAAAATGTGACTTGGCATCCCAAGAAAATATACGACACTTTGTTAATCGATTTAAAAAAGGTATTAGACAAATGTTTTAATTAACTATTTAAGCATATCACTGTTAATATTTATATTTATGGCACAGAAAATTCTAAACTTCATATACTTATTAACAATGGTGGTGTAATGCGATGTCCGAAAAGTTATACCAAAGAAGGTATAGAAATGCAGTTGGGTGTAAATCATATGGGACACTTTTTACTTACAAACTTATTATTAGACGTTTTAAAAGAATCAGCACCATCAAGAATTATAAATGTTTCAAGTAATGCACATTTAAAAGCAAAACTTAAAGTCAAAGATTTAAATAGTATGGAAAAGTATGATCCTTCTGAAGCGTATGGACAAAGTAAATTAGCCAATGTTCTATTTACAAAAGAATTAGCAAATAAACTAAAAGGTATTATAATTTAAATAAAATATTTAGCATTTATTCAATTTAATTAACAAGTATATTATTTAGGAACACAAGTCACAGTTAATGCAGTTCATCCAGGGACTGTTGATACAGAAATAACAAGACATATGACAGTATTTAAAGTTCTTTTCTTAAGATATTTAATTAAACCATTTATATGGCCATTTATAAAGTCACCTAAACAAGGAGCACAATCTGTTTTATATGTTGCATTAGATCCTAGCCTTGAAAATGTCACGGGTTCTTATTTCAGGTGAGTGACATTTATTATCAACAGTGTTACAAATATTCAAAGAAATTTTCTTAAATAAGATATCCTGTATATTAAAAAAAATAACATTATAACTATTTCTTTTTGTTTTGCTTATTTTAGTAATAACGAAATTTCTGACATATCTGATGAAGCTAAAGATGATAAATTGTCAAGATGGTTATGGTTAGTTAGTGAAAAATGGACAAAGTTAAATGTCACTTAAGACTGTTTATTACCTTTTACTCGAAGAATATGTAACTTTAACAACAGATATGGACAAAATATGAACTTAAAGCGCTACAAGGAAACCCCTATAAAATATCAGTGTTCAAGCTTATAAGTTATCCCCTTTTACATTAATTTAGAATGTAATATAATTCTGATTGACGACATCCTACAAAAAGAGTAATAAATAATAATATTAGCAACATATAGTAATTAATATATACATTTTCAGTGAAAAAATAAACAAAATTTTATCGATGAACTCATGAATGTTTTGTAATAAATAATTACAATTTACATCTACGAATTAATACCTCACAACCTAATCCAACACGGTGCTTTTTTTAAAAATGATACTGATGTTTAAATAATAGTTTATTGTATTATACGGACGCGGAATATTGTTTGAGTAATTGTTAATTAACCGAGATTATTTTTTTTTTAGTGAGGATTGCCAAATATTCTTTATTTCGGTTAAAATGTTAATGCTCAAATAGCATAAATCTGTATGTTATCATATAAATATAATTTTTTAAAAAACGATTTTCATTGAAATTACGCTCAAAAAGTAATGTTAAAATTGCCTTGAGGGGTTAGGGATAATCAGAATTTTCAAAAAATCAACTTTTTTGCATTTTCTTGTAGTATAATTTTTCAAAAATATTCTCTGCAAATTTCAAGTTAATTAAATTAATAGTTTTCTAAGTATCCAGTACGGAGGGTAGAGGTAAGGAGTAATATCTCTTATGGGAGAAAATGTGAAAAAAGTGTCCAGGGTTTTCTATAAATAATAGTTCAAAAACCTTCCAAAATGGCGCTGGTAAACTTAGAAGGTATGGTATGAATGTAGCAATTGTAAACGAATTGAAGTATGTCGAGTTATGTAATAATGTAGTAAATATAACCTTAAAGAATTATTATGAGAAAACGTGTAGCTAGAGTGATTTTATTTCGTGAACTGTGAATAGAACGTTTATTGATTTTTTATCATTTAATTTTATGAAAAAGTATGTAAATAACAAAACAGTTATGGGTAAAATTCGTGTTCCTTGTTTATTTCTCAATCCTACTCTAATAATATTTGGCGCTTCTTTTAAAATTTACCCTCTGCGTACTGTGGCGCCACCCTAATTGAATACATTTCGACGGACACTTTTCATATACAGAGATGTTACTCCTTACCTCTATCCTCCATAGTACCCAGGTAGCATCCTGGTCATTCTGATCAGAACACGCCTGGCAGCAGGAATTGGTACTCGACGAGCAGGGCGGGCACAACTCTGGTGTTCGTGTTAACCTCTGATTTTACTAGCGGGAGTGGCAGTGACGCCACGCGGCCGTCGTAACAAGCAAACGGGGTGGCTACTACAGCAGCGTCCTCTACGTTTTTATATCGAGTGATTTCTCTGCCAAGAATCCCGCACAGTTTAAATTAAAAAGTAGAAAGTAGAAGAGCGAAAACGAGTAACTACAAGGACGTAAAAAGACCTTGTAAAAAGCGTATTTTGTCGATTGTTTTATATTGTTAATGGAGCAGTGCAATGCCCTCTAGAAGCAAACCAGTTATTTTATTTTAAATTGATCGTATATCTTCTGTACTGTTTTTCTATGTTAAAAGTAAAAGTGTGAAGCCTTTGTGTATGTAGTAATATCGTACTTACTATATGGATAAGATATATATATATATATACATATATACTTAAATAATCTATGGTTTTTATCTGATTAGAGTATGGTACTATATAAGAATACTTTATTTGATCGCAATGATCACTGAAAGTTTACTGACAGCGTTCGACATAAGCTCGAGTATGAAATTTCTTCGAAAAGTATTATAATATTTGACAAATTATTTCAAATCGTTAACAGATGGTGTATTTAATTTGATAGTTAAATTATTTGTAGTTAATCTAATATCAAATAAATTAAAATATCAATACCATGTTCGCTAGATTGCTTATTGTGTTTACGAACCTTGTAATATTGTGTTCTGCTAATAACAGTGTTGATTTGGGAACTGTTATTTTTGCAAATGTTGTAAGTAAAAAATGAACATATGTGTAATTAATATGTATATATATACACATTAAAAAACATTAATATATACATATATATTTTATTTTTAGATTGACCTTATCATTTGTATATATTTTTGGTATAATTTATTTATTTGCATTATTTGATTAATAATACTTATATAACTATGTTTTTTAAAGCTTTATAGACATGGTGATCGGACTCCTATTGAACTTTATCCAAATGATCCATATAAAAATGAATCATTGTGGCCAGTACCTTTTGGACAATTAACCAATGTAAATAAAAACAATTAATTAATTAATTATAAATAATGAATATTCTATACATCTAAAATATTTATGAGTTACATTATTTTGATATTATTATAATATTATACTATTTCTGACATGTTTATATAGCTAGGAAAAAATCAGCATTTACATTTGGGTCAATGGCTAAGAAATAGATATTCTCATCTTTTAAATGACGAATATCTTCCTAATGACATTTATATCCGAAGTACGGATGTAGATCGTACATTAATGTCAGCTGAAGCAAATTTAGCTGGTTTGTATCCACCAAAAGGAAATCAAATATGGAATACTATCCGTTGGATGCCTATTCCAGTACATACTACACCAGAATTAGAAGATAACGTTTTATCTGGAAAAAAATACTGCCCAAAATATCTATTGGAAAGAGATAAAGTATTACAATCACCGGAGATAAAAAAAATAAATAAAGAAAATAAACATTTATATGATTATTTGACAGAGAAAACAGGAACAAACATTAATACTCTAAAAGATATTGAACATTTATATGATATGTTATATATTGAAGTAATTATATTTTAATACTTTTAGCAAATCTAATTCTTTTCAATCGTTCATCATATGTTAACAAATTTTTTATTGCAGAATTTATATAATAAAACTTTACCCGAATGGACAAAAACTGTATTCCCAAATAAATTAAAACCACTCGCTGAAAAATTTTTTACAATAAGTGCGTATAATAAAATATTACAAAGATTGAAGATAGGTAAAGTATATTTTTTGATTAACTTTAAGAACAATGAAAATTTATATAATTAATGCAAATGTATTTTTTTATTCCTTTTTGGTTAACAGGTCTATTACTTGGAGAAATGATAGATCACATGGATAAAAAATCTAAAAATGCTTTGATTCCTGATAGAAAAGTTTGGGTTTACAGTGCTCATGATGAAACCGTGGCAAATATGTTAATGACTTTAAATTTATTTGATCCACATTGTCCTCCATATACAGCCACAATATTAATAGAATTGAGATTAAATTCTAAAAAAGAATATTTTGTTACGGTATAAATTTTATATAAATATATTATAATTAATTAGTACAAAGAAATCAAAGAGTTAAACATTTAATGTTCTAAATATTATATATATAAATAATATATAATTTTTTAATTTTCTATAGATTTCATACAAAAATACTACTGAAGAACCAAATTTATTAAGTCTTTCTGGTTGCGGCGCTTTATGTCCGTTGAATAAATTTATTGAATTAACTAAAGATGTTATACCAAAAGACTGGTACAAAGAGTGTACAGTAAAACATGAAAAGAGTGCATATAATGTCGAAGTAACAACTGTTATTGGTAAGTATAGTTCTTATTTAAATAATATTATATTTATAATTAATTCATGAAAAAATAATCTATTCTTACCATTTCAGCAATATTATCATCGTCGATATTGATGCTAGTTAGTCTAATTTTATTAGTAATTGGAGTTGTTTACAGATATTACAAACGTGCACATAATCAGTATTACCTCAGATTAACAACAGATCCTATATAAAAATAAACTAAACAAGATTATAGTTATATATTATGGTACAAAATATTTAATATCACCAAAGTAAAAATAAGTTATATACCATAGATATATATATTATTAATGTTTTATCAAAGTTGATGAATTTTTTCATTTTTTAACCCATTGACTGCAAACTACGAGATGTCTTCTCGTAGTGTGCAAAGCAATTTTAGATTAATTACAAATGGTTATTTGAGTTAGGAATTATTAAAAAGGATGAATAAAAAATTTATATGGTGTAAAAAACATTAATTATCAATTATTGTAAATGCCATTACAATATTATCTCGGTAACTTAATATTATTATATTTTATAAAATTTCATGTATTCTTTAAAATAAAACTTTGGCACCCAGGGCAAGATGTTCTAAATATGTCTGGCAGTCAATGGGTTAATATGCAAATTTCGATATATATTAAGCCAAAAAATCTGTTTTTTCTTATATATAGAATATTACACAATAATATGTGTAATGAACTTTGCATCAAGAAATTGTGTACATAAAAAGATAATGATTTCTCTTTGAACGTATTTATATGTCACATGTAAACAAGAAAAGTGACAACTGAATTTACCATGCTTTTAAAGATACCACAAATCATTTTTATACATGTTAAATTTTATATGCATTTAATTATTAATTAAATGGAAGATTGACATTTCTCTTTTTCATATAGATTTCTTTTTATTTATGTCACTTTTTTTGCATACAGAAAATGTGTAATTTATATACCAAAAAAGAGATTATTGAAGACAACATGATAGACTATACATAATTTATGTATTGTAATAAATATTAGAAGGATAACTGAAGTATGTTAAACTTCAGTGGATATTATCACTAAAAAAAATTAATGAGTGCTGTGTTACTTAAGCTGATTTCGAAATTTTTTATTTGTTATTCATACAATATTTAATAATAAATATTGTACTTTTATCAATATTTCACATGAAATGATACAAACGAAGACTAAAATTTTCAGGGTATATAATTAAAATATCTTACTTTGAATAATAAATAATAAATTGCGAAGATTACAGTATATTCAAATTTTTAAATATACATATATAATAATAATTATTATTATTATATAGTTTCTCGTGTGTATTTACAAAATACATAATAATTTTTTATTTGTATAATAAACGTATTGTGTGTAAAAGAAAAAGTTCTTTCAATATAAATAGTCATTTTTAGTTACAGTATTGATTGCTTTTTGTATTATGTACAAATTAAATTGATTTTTAATACTATCTATGCATATATAACGCATTAATAAAATAGTAATTTTTTTAAAAAATTTTATACAAGACAATATATATATATATATATAAATATGTAATTGAAATATCAAATTTTATTTACTTTTGTAAGCGTATAATGCATATTGCACTGTAGAAGAAAGAAAAAGAATAAATTATTATATTTAAAATATTAACATTTAAAAATATTATACTCAAGATTGACAGTAATTTATTAAATAAGAGTATTTATTGTTAATAATCATCAAAAATTTGATAGTGATGTAAAGCTTCCACCTAATCCCTCTTGTATTGTAAATGCCGGATTTGTCCTAAAATGAAGTATTTTTATTATTAAAGAAATATGAAATGAATATAAAATATATAATTTATGTGTATTCAAAAATATTGGATTCTTTTTATTTAATTATTCGTACCTTTATCATTGTAAATAGAAAATAAAATCAACGTTGCAAACCCATACTTTCGGTGGTTAAAAATTTGCATGCAATAAAAATAATATTTGGTTAATTACTTTGCTTACATACACACATTTTTGGCAAGAACAAAATACAAATAGACAACAAGAATAACATCTTACATATTAAAGTTTTTATACATATATAAGAAATATCATGTTTTATGAATGTTATGTTTTATACGATGGTATTTATCTTTTTTGATAATAAATATGGTTTAATATAAATGACTTGTATGTGATTATAATTTCTTACATATACGTACCATTTACAATGTCATGCTGACATCATAATAATAAAAGCATAGTTTTGGAAATGATATTCATATTTGATGAATATGAGATACATGTCAATTATAAAATCGTTGCATTGCATACAGTTGATTACACTTGTATAATTAGGTACTTAATGATGTTTCCGACGTATTGAAGAAACTGAGATTAAAAACACAAACACAAATGTCAAATTTTTCAAACATTTTTCTTATTAACAACAATAACGAATAATTTACTTCAGTATAATCAATAATAATTAATATTATAATGATATGTTAGTATGTATGTATAATATACACATTAAAAGGGATTTTAATGAACAATGTGCAAAAGGTATAAATAATAGGATTAATAAACATATAGGAAATCGTATTAAATTTGTGTTTATTTACATTAGCATTAGTATTAATTTCAAAAACAATTTTGTTTACGTATATTTAACGCCATTAAAAAAATAAACTTTGTATTAAACAAATAAGCATACATTTTTTACGAGTTAAAATAATGACTATAAAATTAATATAAATCTCATTTCTTTTAAAAATATTAATAGCAAATAACCTTCACCATTGTACAAGTTTATAATTATATAAGATTAAATTTATTTTATTATAAGGCACATTGAAATAAAATTTTATATTCTTCTATTATTATAACAATTTTATAGATATTAATAATTGCATTATTCAACATTGTACATTTCCCTTAAATTTTAATTGTTAAATATTAGTATTTGTTAACTGCAAAAGCTTTTACATGCAATTAAGCAATATTTTTTATTTGTATATCAAATGTAATAAAATTGTATTATACAGACACAAAATTATAATTACATTTTAAAAGCATATGTACAATTTGATTTTATATAAAAATGACTTAATTATTAAAATAAATTATTATTTTGGCATCATTTTAAAATATTATGTTCTATACCTTACCTTGCATATATTGCAGGATTGGTTAGGCCAAAGTTATTATCAACGGGTCCACTAATATATTTCCTAACAAACTAAAATGTAAATATGTTAAAACAATATAATATTTAAATAATAATCAAAGATTTATATATGTGGTATAATGATACACATACCCAATAATTACTGAGGGTGTTTGCTCCCATATTTACGGCCATATGAATTATTAAATATATACAGAATAATAGGTATAAAATCGCTAATATAGAAATACCTAACCATATTGCCCAATGATGAGGAAGTTTTTCTACATTATCTATTACAAAATAAATATTTATTATTATCACTACTGCAGATAAAGCAGTGGCAACAATTTTATTTGCTCTGTAATAAAAGAAAAACCTTATGTAATGTATATATATATAAATATTACAAATATTAATATTATATTAAATTAATTAAAAAAAAAAAAAACATACATTCCATTTGTAAATTCTCCCATTATTTGTGGATTACTAGTAAAGGCTAATGTTGGTAAGGTAGCAAAGGGTAACTGCAGACTCATAACAGCATTTAAAGTATCATTCATGCCAGTCATGTTTTGTATATCGGCATAAAATGCTACTAAGAATGTAGGGACAATAGCAATTGTCCGAGTAAAAAGTACTCGCTTCCATCGGGCCCATTTTAAATTTAAAAAACCTTCCATTGCAAATTGGCCTGCATAAGTTCCAGTCATTGTAGAAGATTGACCAGCAGCTAAGATACCAACAGCCCATATATACATTGCTGCCATACCAAATGAACAACCAAGAAATATTCCACCCTTGTATAAATCTGCTTCAAATGTTTCATTATTTCTCTAAAAAGAAGACAATTTCATATTATTGTATCGAAAGAAATATTCATATCAATATATAATTATTATAATTTTACTTACTGGAAATAAATTATCATCTATTTGAATGTCACTTGTTTTACAAGTATCATACTAAAATTAAACAAAATAAAAGCATTGATTAATTTTCACTTTAAGAATTTCAATAAGAACAAGTAAATAACAATTGTAATTGAAAACTTACAACATCTTGATTGGTTTTATCGAAAAGACCGTGTGCAAAAACAGAAACCACAAATACGTTAATAATGAATGAAACAAGAAGTGCGATACTAGCTTCAATAAAATAATACAAATTCGCATCTCTAACTTTGGCAGGTTGTCTTCGGTCTACATCTCTTGACTAAAAAATTCATGGGACATATATTATTAATGATTAATAACAGAATTTTAAGAAAATATATCTATTTATTGAATCAAGATATCGATAATTTTTAAAATATCTTGAAAACTGCTTTTTCCTTACCTTTACAAGAGCACTGTGGAGATATAAATTATGTGGCATTATAACGGCACCAACAATTCCTACAGCCTGAAGCAATGTTTGACTGTCATATTGCATAAGCCATGGTATAAACATTCCTTCTACAACTTGATCTTGAGGTGGTTTTGAAATAACATACTGAAAATATGAAGAACAATAGATTAATAAATAAATGTATAAACAAAAGAAAATAATACGTTTATTTCATTTAAAATATATTGCCAATTTCTTTTACCTCATAACCGAAAGTAACTCCCATAATAGTAATTAACAATCCAAAGAAAAATTCCAATTTTCGTAAGCCATATTTATCCAAAAATAAAAATGTAAATGTGTCAATTATTGTGATAAGTACACCACCCCATAGAGGAAGTCTAAAATACATAATATACAATTATAATTATAAATTTTTTTATTTTTATACTGCAGAATAAAGTAAAATTTTTAAATTTAATATTTTTGATAAAAACTCTGTGTTATTTCGAGTATCTTTAAAAATATTAAATTTAGTGACATACGATAATTTAATATTTATATATAGAAATTTTAAAGTACAATTTCTTAATAATAATAACTTACTTTCCGTATGATAACAAATATAAGGCAATAGCTGTTCCTATTACTTCTTGCATGTCACTACCTATAATAGCTATTTCTATCATTATCCATAAAATAAGCCGAGGTATTTTTTTATATTGTCTATAACACATTTCAGCTAAATGTAATCCAGTAACCACGCCTAAACGTGCGCTGAGTCTTTGCATAACAAGTCCCAATATCGTAGAACTTAATAGAACCCATAATAACTATAAAATACATATTAAATATCAATAGTACATAAATAATTTTAACACATTGTATTAAAACATTAGTAAATATCAAAACAATATATACCTTATAGTTGGCAATTGTACCAGACTGCAAATCAGATTCTATGTTACCAGGATCCAAATATGCGATTGACATTAAAAATCCAGGCCCCGTAAAAGCCCATAATTTTCTGAAGCTAAAACCAGTCTGCAAAAAAATCAAATCTTTAATTTATATGATATATAATTATAATACATTATCTACCACATAAATTCATTAAGTATAGAAACCAAAATAATAAATATTTTAAGAAAAAATAAATAAATAAATATACGTACTCCTTCTATTTCAGGTATTTGTATCATTTCATTAGCGAAGTAGGTTTGATTTGTAGTAGGGGACAAAGACGTGTTTTCCGTGGCTTTAGCATTATTTTGGATTTTTTCCATACGTTGATGGGATACATTAGACGTCTCCTCATTATGAGTATCATGATTTTTTGGCATGGTATATTTTTTAGGAGTCTCTATAATTTCATTTAATGATTTCTTAACATACATATAATTGTGATCAAAACAATAGCATATAATTATTAAAAGAAAAAAATTCTTTTCCCAGAAAATAATTTCATATCATATGTATAGATATAGACGTAGACATACTAACGATTGTTCTTTTTAATGATCCAATGCAATTATGACGAACGTAAACGAACAAAATTCGATGAAAAAGTCAATCAGTTGTATTCTATTGTTTGTTAAAAATAATTCATATTCATAAGGAACAACAATATCTTGTTAAACTCGAAGAAAAAAAAAAATAACAAGATATAAAAGTCACATAATTTCTATTAAATAATCGTATTTATTAAAATAATGTAAAATGAAAAGATAAACTAAAGTGAAAAATATTGAAAGGAACTTAAATAAAAAGAATATATATATAACTGAAGAAAAAGTGAGCTCCACAACCGAACTCGACGAAGTTCTGATTAAAACTAACCCTTGAACATCATTATTCGTAACTTGCGTATGTTATGCATGCGCGCGCTTTTTCAAAGAGAGATAAAAAAATTGGAAACATAGGAAATTCTATCTTTCAGAATGTATTCTGAAATTGCTATTACGAAATATATATATATATATATGTATTTTCTAAACAATAATAAAACTCTTTTAAGATTTATAATTATTTAAAATTTACTGTGCTATTTTTCTATTCTCAAAAAATATTTGATCACGTGATATCACAATCTCATCTTTAAAAATATGATATTTTAATCCTGATGATAAGGTTATTATCTATAAAAAGAAATTTGAAAACATTTTTGTCAAGTGTTTGCGTTATCAAACAAACTAATTATATATATTATATAATTTCGTTGCAATTGTTAATTCATTTCACTAAAACGATATTTTAAATAATCCACAAAAAAAGAAAACAGTTGAGAATCACTGTAGGAAATAACACTACGAAATTAACTACGCGGCGGGTTTCCTAAAACGATATGGTGGGGCCGTCCTGTTTGCGTGAATGATCTGACTAATGCCATTTATTAAAAAGTATTATCATAAATATGATTACGGAATAACCCAGAAGAAATGTATGTTGATTAATATAGTGCATGTTTATTGGTAAAGAAAATTAAAATGTCAATTATGTAATTTATTCTACTTACCCAGTTTTATTTGGAAGCAACAGGAATAACAAGAATTCCAAGAAAACTTAGACAGAAATTATGTGATAGAGAATTAGAAATGATTTGTGCGTAATTTGACGATTGCTATAAACGCAAGTAGGCTAAAGTAATATGTGTATATATATGTGTGTGTGTGTGTAGACATATTAGATTGTTAACGGATAGAATAAAAAACGAACGCGAGAGATCCTTATTGAATTTCTATAATCCTAGAAAAAAAGAATAAACCATATTACTTACTGTTCATCCTTGGTAATTCAAGAAATCATTGATTATGATCGAGATTAATTAAAAAAAAAAAAAAAAGTAGAATTAAATGTAAAAAAAAACTACCGAATTACGAGTATATATTTTTTGTTTTCTTTTTTTTTTTTTATTTATCTTCCAACACAAAAGTATTATCTATAAATTCTTAACAGATCTACACGTAAAATTGATATGAGAAGTAACGTAAAAATAAGTCTATTCAAAGCTCGGTTTCTTACATTAAATAAAGTATACATAACGTTATAATACCACATGAGACAAATGTCCGGGATTCCCGACAGTCAATGATTTCTTTCCTCCTACGCTTTGTATTTTACAGCATCGTATACGCACGTATTTATGCGTCATCAAAATTACAAAAGAAATTTGTTATTTTCTAGTCATAAAAAAGACCATTTTGAAATGAAATATTATTCGTTATCATCGTTTCTATGAGTTCTTGAAATAATCCTTAATTTGTTAATCAATAATACAATAGATTATACAGTGTTTGATTAGGTAAATATACTTATGTATAAGTGATATGCTAAAAAGTATTATAAGATAAGCTTTAAATGTATATTAGTTTATATATATATATTATTAATGTTTAATTATTTAAGTGGTTCTTATAGCTATTACTCATAACAAAGAAACAAAGAAAAAATAAGATATATCTATCAGTCAATAACCTTATCGTTATAGATATATACACGATCTAATAAAATCTTGTATCTCTGTTTCTTAAATATGACGTCATGATTTATTTAGTTGATAAGTATATCGATAATCATCATTGATTATTACATTAATATTTTTTTATAGTACAACTTTGTAATATTTCGTAAAAGCTTAAGAATCATAAAATTAATGTATGACTATGATAAGATTTATGAATATTAGATAAAGTTTTGAAAATAACTACAAAATTATCTTTGATAAAATATCTACTAAAAATATCATTTAATATTTTATGATGTTCCTTATGTAATAGCATTGCATAAATTGTTTCACGTGATGCACAGATTTCATGTTTTATAATAATTAAATTATTAATAATTTATATTCTCTCTTTATAATTATTGTATAATAAATGAAAAAATATTTGTATAAATACAAAGTTTCACTTGTTGAATATGAAAAAAGATATAAAGACCATATCTTTCCCTTGATAATATATCGCTACTTGATATTATTTAGTAGGCTTATTTCCCTGAAATAATCTTGAATGAATCTCTTCTCGAAGATGATAAAAAAAAATATTGCGATATACTTGTACTGTTTATTATTTCGATTTATTAACTTTATATCTAATCTGATTCTAAAACGTGCATCGTGCGGCATAGACATTGTGGATAACATTAAAAAAAAATTATCTTAAGCATTTACGTGATTGATTAATGTCATCAATTGATCATAACGAAGGACAAAAAAAAAGGTTTTCACTGAAAAAAAATTTAAACTGTTAAGGTGGGCACTATTTATTGTATATTCTAATATTGTATCATTATTGTAAATTATTATTACATACCATCGTTGTATTATTGTGAACGTATTTGTATACGATCTAAAAATAGGATCTCAATTCTTTCTGTAATTACAATGTATTATTTTCTGAAGTTTCCAGTGATCTTTTACATTTTTATATACATTATTAATATATTAAAGTAATAAATAAATATCACTTCATGAATGTCTAAAATCTTTATTAAGAATAATCGAACGTATATTAAATTTAACCATAATTTATAGAACAACGAACACCATAATAGTATATTAATATAATAAGGTATAAAAATGTATTGATAATTTAATTATAGCGCATTTGACTTATGGCTTTGATAACAACATTATTGCATTTCTGGCGTTTTAAGAGTAATCTCATTAGATTACTCTTATTGCTACCTTTATTTGCATAAATTAAATCTTAAAATGTGCAATTTTCAATTTCATTTAAGAACTGGAAATTTTATTAAGTATTTTATAACATTTGAAAAAAAAAAAGATTAATCTATTATAATCGCGATAATCCAAAATACGTATATGAATCTATCTATTGTCTTTGTTACTGTTACTGATGATCTGAAAATCAGTAATATACTATTACCGACTGATCGGTAAAATAGAAACCGACCAATATTTTTTTCGTACATTCGTGCATTGACCGAATTTTTTGTAGACTCGTAAATTGAAATACGAAACAAATGCATACTGTCTTCTATCTCATTCTCTTGCAAGCTAAATCCTATAGATGTACGTATGTTTGTCTCGTTTTCTCTTTTTAATACCGTAGCCGTTTCCTCATTTCGTTGCAGTTACCATGAATTTCCGTTCGCTTTTTGAAGTGAAAACTTCTTTAGATGGGTGTGACTTGAAAAAATGAAACGCGGTGATATAGTAGGAAAACGAAACCGGGATGTAGTGGGGAAAGGAAACGGACAATGTAAGTGTTTTATTGTTTACTTTCTTTATAATTATTATAAAAATGCGCGCCTGTATGAATGCAACCCTACAGACACACTTTGAAAATGTTGCTTGCGAGCGTCATCTGTCGGGACGTCATAAATTGAAACACTTTTGTTCGTACATTCATGCATTGACTGAACTTTTCGTAGACTCGTGCAAATAGAAAAAGAATAAGTTAATGTTTTTAATCTATCGAAACATGTCAGATATCTAATTTCAAGTAAAATAGCTGATAAGTTTAATGACGTTTCTCAGTAAGTCTGACGTGTGGTATGTGTCAATGTGCAGTGTGTGCAATCATGCAGGTGATCAAATCCCTAGGAGCAAGATAATACACTTTAAAGAATAAAGTGAAAATAGATATAAAAAACATTTGTATAAATTTTGTCTACCTTTGTTATCTATGTAGAACTATCATAGAAATATATCAGTAAGCTCTCATAAAAAGAATTTACGATTTGTATTGATAAGAACGAAATATCTCTAGTCATACGGCTAATAGCTTAATCCTCGACCTTGGGTGTGGTACAAGCAGAGCCACAAGAGTTTTGAATTTCGGGTAATACAAGAATCATCGTAAAAGAATTCCTGAGGTTACGAGATAAGGCAGTGTGAATCAGCCGATCAAAGTGACTGTAGTGAAGCAGCAAATTTTACGAACAATAAAATATTTTTCAATTTAACAATAACATATTGGTTCTAATTCTTTTTTAAATATACTTTTTTAGCTCACCGGGTAAGTTGACATTTTTCTTCAGTGGTACAAGCTCCATAGTGGAATGAACACATTTGAAATCTATGCTTTTAGCAGATAAATATAAAGTACTATTAAAAAGATAATTTTCTCTGATAAGGGATTTAATACCATACAAGTCGAAATATTACGCCTGTCAAGTCGATTACTTATACAAATTCAATATCTTATATCTAGAAGGTCAGTTACTTTGTTGTAAAAACGTAAAAACTTATACGAGAATGAATTACTTATACTGATAAGTATAATAGTTTTTTTAATTATTTATAAGTATATCTTGTACTGACCAAATAATCTTATGGATACAACAAATTTTTGTATAATCCATATATATTTATGTTTACATGTACCACAAAAATCGTTTCATTAAATATATCTCACCAAATAATTTTCTTTTTTCTCTAGTACATTATTCTTTTAGATTTATTTTTTTCTTTGAAATATTTATTTTTTTAATTTACAGGAAAATGTCTAATACCAATAATTTAGAGCAACATATTGCAAACTTGCAAATCAATCATGGTGATAATACAATCAAAGTTAAATCCGGGAAGAAAGTTGGCCCTGCTGTTCCACCTAAACCAAAAAAATGTCAACCCCAGGTCAGTATATTATTCTTTTTTATGATAGGAAATGATATAATATTAATAAACGATTATTTATACGCCGTCTTGAATTGGGACAACCAATGGTAAAATGTTATTATATATGTTGTTACATTTATATATTTATAATCAATATGATGGTTTTATAAGTTGTCATTAATATTTTTTAATAGATACCGCAAAGTTATTCAATAAAGGCAGCACCAATGCCATCATATAGTACTGTACTCAATAATACTGGAATAAATGAAAAATCTACAAACCTATACATGAATTCACCTTCTCCATATGTACCAATGAATATGGAAAAAAATGATTTTAATATACCCACAATGACCAATGGAAAAGAGAATGTAAAACTATATCAAAATAATGAAAATTTCTACGTACATCAAACAAAGGAAAAGTTTGAACCTAAATATGGATATGATGAGAAAAATTATTATTCAAATGTTGGAAATTTACCAGCTCCTCAAGTACCAGTGGAAGATCGTAATGATAGAGCTACAAATAGTGCAGTATATAGTAATGTTGAATCTCCATCGCCTATTTCTGTTTCTACACAAAAAAAAACAGAAAAAGATATCATTTACAGTAATATACAATGGAACCCAAAATCGGAGAATACTTACAGTAATATTCCATCTTCTCATACCAATGGTAAAATTAATAATATATATTTAGTTTTTAATGGAAAGTATAGATTTATTTAATAATATGATTGAATTGTCTTTTATAGATGATTTACCACCACCACCTGAACCTTCAGAATATGTTGCTTGCATTCCAGGAAATTCATTTCCTCCACCTCCCGAAGAATTACCACCACCACCTAGTCCTGTCTCATCCAGTTACAGCGAATTAAGACGTGCAACTTATCAAACTGATTTTCCTGCTGGAAATTATCCTAATGATATTTATGGTCCAAGTTCTCAATCTAGCTCAACATATGAGTCTATATATGAACCTATTAATCCTAGACCACCATCTCAACTATCTTGCAATTATTCAATGTATTCTGGATATGGATCTGCTACTTCTACTCAACCACAGGGAAAAGTATCTCCTGTGAAAGAAGTAAATTGAAAAACTATAATAGGTTTTTGCTAATATTCACATATATTAGACATTGATTTCAAATGAATTATTGTTTTTTATAGGTCGATGTTTTAACTGATTTATTAGTTCAAGGAATGTCCGATAATAGCGAAGAAAGTGATATATATGGTATTTGTGCACAGTGTGGATGTAAAGTCGAAGGAGAGGGTACAGGCTGTTCTGCAATGGATAAAGTTTTTCACATAAATTGTTTCTGTTGCTATGTTTGTAAAGTCAATCTACAGGGTAAACCTTTTTATTCATTAGAAGGCAAACCTTATTGCGAAGAAGATTATTTAAACACTTTAGAAAAGTGTTGCGTGTGTACTAGACCAATTCTTGATAGAATATTAAGAGCTACAGGGAAACCTTATCATCCATCATGTTTTACGTGTGTAGTTTGTGGGCAAAGTTTGGATGGTATACCTTTTACAGTAGATGCTACAAATCAAATACACTGTATTCAATGTTTTCACAAGTAAGTTAACTGTAAACAAAAATAAAAATTTTAATTTTTTTTTTTTTGCTTTAATTATAATGTTACTAAAGATATGAATTTTTTTAATAGAAAATTTGCACCTCGTTGTTGTGTGTGTAAATTACCCATCATGCCAGAACCTGGGCAAGAAGAAACAATACGAGTTGTTGCTCTAGATCGCAGTTTTCATATTCAGTGTTACAAATGTGAAGATTGTGGTTTGATACTATCTTCTGATTTAGAAGGTCATGGCTGTTATCCTCTAGATGATCATGTGCTTTGTAAAAGTTGTAATGCAAGTCGTGTACAAGCATTAACATCTCATATGACTACCGAATTATAAATTTTGCTGAAATTTGATTTTACAATTAGATTTTCATATTCATATACTATATGTTTGATTAATACTTCAAACATTTCAATATACTATTTCTATCTATTGTTTAAAGAGGTCAGAATTAAATTTATAACTTACTTATCACATAGCAAATATATATATAGTCACGTTAATAGTAGCACGTCGTAAATAATTTTAGGTTTTGTGACTGAAATCTATAACATAACGAATATTTGTACTATTTTAAAATGTTAAAATTATATTCATAAAAATATTCTTATCAAACTGCCGATTTTAAAACTTTATATGTGATAATTGTAATTGCAAGTAACTAACGTATTATCGAAAAAAAAAAGATATATAATAAATAACATTAAAGAGGAATATCAGTTTCTATTAATATAAAGCTTTTTTTTTATTAGGCACTTGTTTCAACATTAAAATAAAGGATTGTGCCATTTAAAAAGTTCCATTATTAGAAAAAAGATATTCATAAATATATTAAATATTGTGATCTATTTGTAAGTTACTAGCCTGTTTTATTACTTTATATTTTTTATATGAAATAGATATCAATGTTTGATATAATTATTTAATAATTTTCATGTATTTCGTATTGTAAAAGAAGAAACAAGAGAATACATTTTATTTATAAAAATGCAGAGTCTACTTGATTTACTTTTTTATAAATTAGTATTTAAATATTTGAAGACAAGAGATTTGTGTATATTATAAGACATTACATGCATTAATTATATATTATTAAATATGTGTGGGGGAAAAAAGACATATTAAAAAATTCCATTTATATTAGAGCATTGTATATTTTATGTTTTCGATGAGATTATATTATTCTTTATTTGCAGGAGAAATGTACAATTACTTGAGTCTATTTTTTCCTTACTAATTTTCTCCAGCTAGGTATCCATGCATAGATGACTTTATTAATATGTACTAATATTTCGTTTTAAATATATGCATTTCTTATATATAATATATTTTATTATTATTAATATAATTATATATATTATTATTATTATTAATTATTATTATTTTATTACTATAATTATAATAATTATTATTAATTATTATTAATGATTATTATTATTATTTTTATTATTATTTTTATTATTATTATTATAATTATTATTATAATTATTATTATTATTGTTATAACTATAGAATTCTTAAATCTTACAGAATTTGTTGATACAACCTATATGTCATTTTGTGTATAATTTATGTTATGTTAATACGTAAATCTCTTTCTTACAGAGTATACTTTTATGAGTTATGGAATGCACTATTAGCAACATAACGCCAAAATGTAAAATAAAAATATTGAATGTACATTGAAAATACATGAATATATTTACTTAATAAGTTTCAAAACATATATTGAATCTTTTAAAACATTTACTTATATATTGAAGCTATTATCAAATTTTTCAAAAATAAGTAAACAATTTAACTTATCCAATACAAATAATATAAACTCAGACCATAGAAGAATTGTTCTACAAATAATTCACGTAATGGATTATTTGCTGTTATAAACCACTTATTAATATTTTCAAATATTGTAATATTACAATAAAAAAGAAAGAAAAAAATTATACACGCAAAAAATGAATAATTTTGAAATAACTTTTATCTAACTTAAATATAGAAATAATATGTAGCATTCCACAGCTCTAAATGCATACATACTTCACATGTTTCATATAATACATTTATACTCTTGTAATTTACTACGCGTATGATATATTAATATATATATATATATATATATAACTTAGACTCATTTTGTTTATTATATACTTTACGAAGTATATATTATCTTTTATTTCACATTAGTATTATTCTACGCCAAATTTTAGTACATAGATCCTCCTAAACAATAATCAAATTATAATTATTATTCTTATTAGTACCAAACTCAACATAGAATTGCACTTTACATACGATTTTCAGTTATATATATATACATATATAACTATACATATATATATATAACTATATATATAGAGATAGATATACATATATATATATAGATAATATATATATATTTATGAAATATGCGTGTGTGTGAATTGACACACTACCACACAAATGCTTACATACAAATCTGTACTTGCACACAATAGTCACAGCCACCTGTCCAAATTCGCGCACACGCACACTTAAGATACGCATTTGTCGCACTTATTTCCAATACCTTCGGTATGTTATAATTTTTTGTTGTATATATATTTTTATATATATATATATATGTATGTATGTATGTATGTATGTATGTATGTATATTGCTGGGATATTTTCTGTGTATTATACATAGAAATAGGTGCCGAAATGTACTGCTCTTTTTCTAGAATCTTTTTTATGACCGTTGGGGCTGTTGCATTTTTGTTATGTTTTTCTTTTTTTTCTTTTTCATTATTTTTATGATTTCTAATATCAACCTAACAGCATACTTTCGCACTTCCAAATATACTCAGCGTTGTTGGACTTCACAGCCCATAAATCAATAAATAAATAGAGGAACAACAATCTTCAAACATCTTTTTTTTCTTATAACAACATTAAAGGCTCTTGGAACGTAACGCAACAAATGTTCAACAATACAATTACGAAAACAAATAGAAGGCACTCTTGCTTTTTAATAAATTAATTTCTTTGTAACGACTCACAAGTTCTACGTACTCTAGGCCTTGATGTATCATCTAAATACAGTCCGATGTCTTTTAACTTTTCTTCTATTTGCTGCGATATTTCTATATCATCACAGCATGTGCAAACCTTCGGAGTAACACTTCCTGTTCACGTTTTTAAATAGATAATAATAGCTATAATATGCGAGATATGAGATAACAAATTTCTCATCATAGATAAAAGAAATTTACGTTTATAACAATTAGGTAGAATATTATTTAACTTTTTATATTATAATAATTTAATTATTGTTATTTGCTTGGAAGCTCACAGCCGACACATTTTTTTAATTCATTATTTTTTTTAAATATTTTATCTTATTCGTTGGGCACAGGGCATTTCACTTTTATATATTTTTTTTTTTTTTTACTGCTAAATATACGATGTTTGCGCGGAAATTTACCGAAAAAAAAATTAATGAATTTGTGTCCGCTCTATTTTAAAAGGCGTGAGAATATTCACGGTCACTCTAATTAAACTATAAGTACGATACCACTTCAGGTAGAAAAAGAAATAGAGATGTGGCAGTGCCTTGAGCAACCGTTGTGAAATGAATTCTATTTGCCTCCCTATTACCCCTCTGTTTTTTCTTTTTGAACACATTACAAATCGATCATCTTTGTACGATAACAAGATTATTTGTTTCTATCTTTTTTTGCTTATCCATCTAACTACTCTAGCCATGCTCGTGAGATTCATGTTTATCGAGCCTATCACGCATAACGTCAAATACTGCATAATATGGATGTAAATGATGAATTATATCAGTATCTATTAAGATATATGTTTATATCATTAATATTTGACTCTTTTAAAAGATAATTTATAACTGACTTTGAGTTTAATGCTAATTATATCTGTCATTTTCAATATATATATATATATTATATATATACTATATTAAATGTTACATATACATAGATGTACATGCATGTATACATGCATATAAATACACCTACGTATATATTTACAATTATGTATTTTGTGTATATGTATCATACTAATAATATTTTTTTATGTTTTCATTTGTATACTACGTATTTTGAGTGCTTCTATATGCATGTATGTATGTATTTATGTATTTATGTATATATGTAGTACGCATGTGTATTGTGTTACATTTTTGCGTTCTATCAATGTTTACGCACATATTGCATATCCACACGGGCTCGCTTGCTTAATAATTTAATAAAGTTTTTATTTTATATATGAAGAATTCAATTTACAGTTTCAATGTCTACTTTTTGGATTTAGGACTGAGATCACAAGAGAAATTGTATAACAGTGCATATTCATGCAGTATCATGCAAATTTTTTTGGCCGACATTCAGATCATACGATTTCAAATGAATAAGAAAGCAAACATAGATATGAAAGTAAGTTTTTAGAGGGTCAGAGCTTGTATTTGATGACATGTATCGCTCAATTGATTCTGATCCCCTGCAGAATGAGCTGGATGTGTTTGGGATGTACCTGGTGGTGTAATAGGCATTCTACTAACAGTAGGAGGAGCATCACCTGCACCTCCTAAACTATCTTCGGATACTTTGCCACCTGATTGCATTATACTATTAACTTTATACTTGCTTTGCCGCAACATAGTAGTTTGCGCATTAGCACTTGAATATTTCTCAGTTGACTTCCTATTCGAAGACAATGGTGGAACTACTGTATATCGTCGTTGGCCAGATTGTTGCTGTTGCTGCTGTTGTTGTTGTTGTTGTTGCTGTTGCTGGTGTTGAGATGGCATGGAGGGTTGGTAACGGTTTTGAGCCGCTGGATAATACTGGACCTGAAGGGTGGGTGGTGATAAGGTTGGGAGGGGTCGAGTCATGGGGGAATATGGAGCTGGCGGTGGACTCGCCGGCTTATCTGAACTTGTTGAATCAGTAGTTTGCAAACCCTGTGAAGAGTTGGTACTATCTATTTGACTCATAGTAGAAGATTCATTACTTTGACTGCTACTATTCAAATTTTCAAATTGGTTAGCAGATACAGAACCTGTGGTTCTATAATTATTCGATGCATTCCTCCTACCTGAGGTATAGTTCGTTGATTTATATCCGATTGTGTTGTCAAAATATTGATCTGTATTATAATTTGTATTCTTACGTCCATTCATATAGTCAAAGTTTTGATTTATATTCATATTTCCAATCTTCTGTAAACTATTACTAGATGGATTGTATGTTTGATTATTAAAATTAACATTGGATCCAAAATTGCCAGGCTTGCTTAAATTTTGACCTGAATTGTAATTTCCAGATTTTTGTGTTAAATAACAAGCCGGAGAGCCCACATTGGAAACAGTAGCTCGTTTGTTATATTGAACTGGTAATCGAGGTGTCATAGCAA